TCTTCAACCATGTGTGCAGTTTGTCAGGGCGCATTTTGATGCTGAAAGAAGCCACTGCCATCAGGGAATACCGTCTCCATGAAGGGGTGTACTTGGTCAGGAACAATGTTTAGGACGGTGCTACGTGTCACAGTGACATCCACATGAATGGCAGGACCCGAAGTTTCCCAGCAGAACATTGGCCAAAGCATCACACTGCTTGCTCTAGCTTGCCTTCTTCCCATAGTGTATCCTGGTGCCATCTCTTCCCCAGGTAAGTGACAAACAGGCACCCGGCCATCCACGTGATGTAAAAGAAAACGTCATTCATCAGACCAGGCCACCTTCTTCCATCGCTCCGTGGTCCAGTTCTGAGGCGCACAAGCCCATTAGAGGCTCTTTAAGTTGTGTACATGCTTCAGCATGGACACCCTGACCGGTCTGCGCCTACACAGCCCCATACACAACAACCTGCGGTGCTCTGTGTGTTCAGACACCTTTCTATCTGAACCAACATTCACTTTTTTAGCAATTTGATTTCCAGTAGCTCTTCTATTGGATCGGACTACACAGGCCAGACTTCCCTCCCCACCAATGAGCCTTGGTCGCCCATGCCATCGAGGTGCCATTGTAATATATCCCCCCCCCCACTTCCAGGTGCCATTGTAATACATCCCCCCACTTCCAGGTGTCATTGTAATATATCCCCCCCACTTCCAGGTGTCATTGTAATATATCCCCCCCACTTCCAGGTGTCATTGTAATATATCCCCCCCACTTCCAGGTGTCATTGTAATATATCCCCCCCACTTCCAGGTGTCATTGTAATATATCCCCCCCACTTCCAGGTGTCATTGTAATATATCCCCCCCACTTCCAGGTGTCATTGTAATATATCCCCCCCACTTCCAGGTGTCATTGTAATATATCCCCCCCACTTCCAGGTGTCATTGTAATATATCCCCCCCACTTCCAGGTGTCATTGTAATATATCCCCCCCACTTCCAGGTGTCATTGTAATATATCCCCCCCACTTCCAGGTGTCATTGTAATATATCCCCCCCACTTCCAGGTGTCATTGTAATATATCCCCCCCACTTCCAGGTGCCATTGTAACCAGATAATCAATGTTATTCACTTCACCTCTCAGTGATCACAATGTTATGGCTGATCGGTGTATATATATATATACATGACACTGCACATTCCATTTGAGCTTCCATCAGTCACATGTAGAATTTCATGTGTCTAAATGTCATTCATCTGACTGCTAAACAAACATTGTGAAGAAGGAGCATTGTGTGTGCAGACCGGATGGGAGGATGAGACACATCGCACATACGCCAGTAACGCCACAGTCACTATGGATGGAAAACGTCAGATGAGTTCAGTACAAACTGAGTGATGAGAACAAAAAAGAAAGTTAAGTCAAAGCTTATTGAACAAAAAAAAAAGAATTAAACCGGAATGCGAGACACACAATGTTCCAGAAGGTGAACTATACATATGAAAAGGTCAGCCCACCCAACATGATATTTTAGATATGAGTTAATCCCTGGTTTCCTTTTAGTTATGAATACTCCAACAGCGAGATCTGCCGGCTATATCTCCCATCTCTGTTCCTGTCCATCTTTGTGTGTTCCAGCTCCTCCTCTTACATTATCCATTTGGCCTACAAGACTCTGCTCTCTCGTGGTTCTCCTCCTACTTATCTAAGCGCTCCTTTAGTGTCACCTACAACTCTAACTCCTCCCCTCCGCTTCCTCTTTCTGTAGGGGTCCCCCAAGGCTCTGTCCTTGGACCCCTTCTCTTCTCTATCTACACCTCCTCCCTTGGTCAACTAATAACCTCACATGGCTTCCAATACCATCTCTATGCAGATGACACTCAAATTTATCTTTCCACTCCACAACTCCCCCCCCTCAGTGTCCTCTCGTGTCAATGATCTACTAACTGATATATCTGTCTGGATGTCACAACATTTCTTAAAGCTCAACCTTTCAAAAACTGAGCTCTTGATATTTCCTCCACCCCCCGCCCCCGTGCACCTTCCCCCAACATTTCAGTTGAGATTGATAACACAACTATCCAGCCCTCCTCCCATGCCAAGGTGCTAGGTGTCATTCTTGACTCGGAGCTCACCTTTCTTCCCCACATCCAATCACTATCCAAATCCTGCCGCCTTCACCTTCGTAACATCTCCAAAATACACCCCTTCCTCACCAAGGAAACCGCAAAATTACTCATCCACTCACTTGTTATGTCTCGTCTTGACTATTGTAACTCCCTCTTCATTGGCCGACCTCTACACAGGCTCCTCCCCCCTTCAGTCTATCATGAATGCAGCTGCCAGACTCATCCACTTGACCAACCGCTCAGTGTCTGCAACCCCCCTCTGTCAATCCCTGCACTGGCTTCCACTCGCCCAGAGAATAAAATTCAAAATATTAACAACCGCGTACAAAGCCATCCACAACTCCGCCCCCGGATATATCTCAGACCTTGTCTCAAAATATCACCTTAACCATCCACTCCGCTCTTCCCTAGACCTCCTGCTTTCCAGCTCCCTAGTTAACTCCTCCCATACTCGCCTCCAGGACTTCTCTAGAGTCTCTCCCATCCTCTGGAACTCTTTACCCTAACATGTCCGTCTATCTCCCACCCTGACTGCCTTTAGGCGTTCCCTTAGACTCTTCTCTTCAGGGAAGCCTATCCCATCTCAACCTAACCACTGAACCATCACATTCTCAAACAATTCATCCCCACACAGCTACCTCCTCATGTATCATTTCCCCCTCCTCTTTCAGATTGTAAGCCCTCAGGGGCAGGGCCCTACTTACCATCTTGTCTTGAATTGTATTGTAATTGTAATGTTTTCCTTACATTGTAAAGCGCTGTGCAAACTGTTGGCGCTTTATAAATACGATGTAATAATAATAATAATAATTGTACAAAATGGGTTGGTGGAAACCCCTCATAATGGGTAGATCAGGTATACAGACCCGGGAACTCAGCTCAGGGATGCTGGGGGCCCCTCATAATGGGCACAGCAGGTGTACAGACCCGGGAACTCAGCACAGGGATGGCGGGAGCCCCTCATAATGGGCACAGCAGGTATACAGACCCGGGAACTCAGCACCGGGATGGTGGGAGCTCCTCTTAATGGGCACAGCTGGTGTACAGACCCAGGAACTCAGTGCAAAGATGGTGGAAACCCTTTATGTTGGGCAATTTAAAAGAAAAAAAAGTCATGTTGTCCATTTCAATGGTTCACTCGCAGTCCTACTTTTTTTCTTCTACTCTCCAAGTAAAAGCAGAAGTGTAATGGACGCATATAAGGCATTCCCTTGTTTCCACCCCCCCATCCCTCAATCAACATGCAATTAACCTTTTTCAATCAAATTATTTGGTCTTTCAGGCAAAACCTTTTTTGACATCATCACTGGGTCTGTCTGCCGCTCTTTGCGTCAAGTTTTGTGTGAGGGGCCGGTAGGCTCCTGTGAACATCACAGCTTTCTGCCTTGGTTATTTTTCAAAAGAATTATATGAAAGAAGACATCCTCGGGATCCCTTTAGACGTGTCAGTCACTCGGCGCTAAAGGCTTTAGCTGTGCAATGTAGACACTGGTTGATTTTGGTTGCAGGCACGTCTAAAGGGAGACGGAGATGTGTACTTTTACATAAAGCTCTTGGATAAAAATGATTTGTGGCTGAGAAAACTAACAGCTGTGAAATGGGGGCCAAAGAAGGCAAACAGTTGTAGCGCTCACCCCCGAAGGATCCGCTGGATGCCCGGTTCATCTGTAGTCTGTCTAGGGTATGTTCTTCAGCTGCCCAGCCATTAGCATTAACCGCCCTTCTTCTAGTGCTCATAAACTGATGTCCACTCCAGTAGTAAAATGCGAAGTAACGATTTATTGAACATCTTCACTGGGGAGAGAGGGTATAGGGGGTTCTAGGCTTCTAGGGGTAACTAACAAGAGCTCCAGAATCACCAGACCTGGTTGGCATATCAGTGTAGATCCACTTGGGAGGCAGCAGACAGCAACTAAAGTAGCAGCTAAGCAAAATGGATACAGATCCTCAAGCAGGAAAGACACCGACCATGCTCCTGAAGTCCTCTTAGTTCCAGGGTACTTCAAGAGCCTGCATTGGTCCCGGTTCTCTTCCTCTATTAGCATAACAGGCCTCCTTCATGTTGGAGGCCTCAGGGAAACCTTTGCCTCACACCAGCCCATGCCCACCCACAGGCCTCAGGCCTAGCCTGGAGTGCAGGCTGAACAGCACCCAGCCCTAATCCATGGCTGGTCCCGACTAGTCTGAGCACATGGCAAATCCCACTAGTATACCCTAACCCAGCATGCACCACTGGCTGAGAGAGAAACTCAGTGATTGGCTGCTGTACTGTACATACACTACAGTGCCTCTCATTGGCTGTCCCACAATATAACAGTCACACTCCACCCGCTGAGGGGTACAGGCAATGCCAGACACCTGATATTAACCAGATAATTGCCACTATAGATCCAGCTAGGCTGACTACAGCCCTGGCTATCACTAAATGTCTAGTAGCCACATCACAGAAGATTATGGGGGCTACACAATATTTGGTCCATATACCTTGCCGGCACTCCTTATCGAATATGCCAAAGATAACGGGTGCTTGTAATGACTGCGGATGGCTCGGCTCGAAATACAGTAACAAATGCAAATGTCACCAGCACTCCAACTTGAAGATTCACATCAGAGCAAATCCATTTTATTGAAAGATGTCAAGAAGACAAGCGCTTTCAGGGCCGCGCAGGGTCCCCTTCATCAGGCTCAATAATGACGTATCTCTCCAAAGGGTTATATTGCGGAAATGCAAATTTACAGGTAATTGAGATTATTCAGTTTCAAGTACAGAGGAGAAGACTTGCTACAAGTGTGGGGAAAAAAATGTAAAGCTGGAGTTCAGCTTTAACGTCTTGAACCTTTCATTATAGTTTTTTTTAATGGACAGTTTTTGGGGCCTTTCCGCACTATAACAAAAGATCGACGGTCATGTTTTTCTGATCCTTTTCAGATTTCACCGGCAAGTAACCGAAGTTCTCCATGGCATCTCCACAAACCTGTTCAATCTCTTTCACCGCTTTGAATGCCATCGTCATTCTCCACTTTTGGACAACTTGTGAGGATTGTCTCGAAAAAGTCATGAACCCCCTTTTCTGTATATCCTCGGAATGTGTAATGTTATGGATCCACCACTTTAGATTTTCAGACATTTTTAGACCGGCAAATTTATAAACCTCTTTGGCATTTTTAACAGGTTCCAGCGCCAGATCCTCGTGGCGTATAAGCATGTATCGCCCCCGCAGAGAAAGTCCAACAGCCGCGGCCAGTTTGTTAATGGCTACCTGTGCGTTGCAGATCTTTGCCATGGCCTGGTTAACAGTGATCTTGTTCTTTTGATTTCCCCCATTAAGAACAATTCGGTCCTCGATGCCAAGACCGAAATGTTTCCTGGATGCCACAACAGCTCGAGGATCTCTTACAAGGTGGATAATTCGTAGGTCAAGAGCAGGATCTCGGAAAAGCGGAAGAAGGACGGATAAGTTGAGGATGCGGACTGTTTTCATCACCACGTGACTGTATTTGGTACATGCCTCGGCCATTTTATCCAAGGTAGTGTTTTTACAACGGTACAAGCATGTGAGACGATCAAAACCTTCAGCTGGGATGTAGCCAGAACAAGATGGCGGAGAACACAAAGCTCGGCTTTCCGCAAAGAAACCCATTTCAGAAATCGACTTCCCACCTCTGGGAAGGTAATGCTTCAGCGGAGACACATCGCAAGTAAAAAGCGACCGGAAGAGGTCCCTGACCAGGTAGTGAAGCAGCTCCACACTCTCCTGCTTAAACCTCATCCAGACAGAAAATCCAGGCTCAAAGAGGTAGAAGACATCTTCGTGGTGGTTGAAGATCTGCCCGAGGAACGAAGAACCAGAGCGCCAGGAGGATATGATGAGGAGGTGCACAGGTCTCTTCTGGTGTTTATGGGAAGAGGAGTCGTAGGAAAAGCGATTGATGTAGACAAACTGGCAGAGGAAGAAAAGTAGGAAGAACAAGAGGAAGAAGAAGAAAAAGGAGCGAACGGACATTATCTACCTGAACCTAGGAGTGAGAAAAGAACAAGGAAAAATTCAATAGAACAATAAAAAGTAGGGTGGCTTCGAACATAAAACAATCATAAATACATTGAGGAAAAGAAGGTGAAGGTTCTTCTTCATCCAGATCATGGTATAGCTAGTACTAGTTAGTCACATTCAGGTGGACTTGTTCTGTAAAGTCGAAGAACAGGTTTAAGCAGTTTTTTCCAGTTTTATTGATTATCAGAAACATACCACAGCAGTTATAGACACATGGGTAACCTATTCAGCTCGATCCAACACCATAAAATGTGTCAAGCAGGATGGTAATTGTCTCCCTACATTCAAGGACAATGAGGAGCACATTTTGGACAGGGAGGATAACTGGTTTACAAAAGGCTTGAAATAACTGGAACAACAATCCCTAAATTAGGAGTGGGGGCCTTCCACACCATCCGTCACCCACCTATAATACTGTTTTAATCTATCTACATTGGAAATTTGACAACAATGCACACCTTTAGAATTGTAACTCGAATGTTTGGCACATGTCCCAGGCACTGTGGTGCCGTAGGATCAAATTATGTTAGAAGAACAGGGTGGCTTTGCAAACTTTCACTCCTCCCATTCTGTTCTTCGCCAACCGTCATCTGCCTTGACTCATTCCACAGTGATTGGGTTGAGGTGACTGAGTTACCATTAGACATGTAAGCTGCGGAAAAATTCAATTAGGATATTTCATTATTTCGGAATTCGCATCTGAAATTAAATTTTGTTCGGGTTTTGGATTCGAACGAAAGCCGAATTTTGTTAGTTTCGGATGAGTTTATGAATATTCGTTGTGAGTAAAACAGAAAACCCTATACAGATATTAATACTAAAGCTGAATCTCATACACCCGAATGGCATTCGGGAGCTCCTGAATGCAATTCGGAAACTCGGAACCCGAATGCCATTCCGGTCTGGGAGCCATATACATATATTACTAAAGCTGAGGATCCCAGACCCGAAAGGCATTGAGGAGCTCCCAAATGCAATTCGGAAATTCAGAACAAGAATGCCATTCGGGTCTGGGAGGCTCAGCTTTAGTAATATATGTATATGGCTCTCAGACCCGAATGGCATTCGTGTTACTAATTTCCAAATTGCATTTGGGAGCTCCTCAATGCCTTTTGGGTCTGGGAGCCATATACATATAATACTAAAGCTGAATCTCCTAGACCCGAATGGCATTCGGGAGCTCCCGAATGCAATTCAGAAATTTGGATTCTGAATGCCATTCGGGTCTAGCAGCCTCAGCTTTCGTATTATATGGATATACTGTGTATGGCTCCCATGTTGCCATAACAAAACTTTGTGTTCAGACCCCTTCGGATGAATGAAACCGAAAAACACATCTGATTGGCCAGAAAATGTCCAATTCAGTTTCGTTTTTGAACGAAATTCAGACAGGATCCCAAATTCGGAAATGGAAATTTGGATTCGGACACATTCAGATGCATTGGGATTCAGAAATTCGGAATTTCCAAATGTCCGAATTGTGGAAAATTCATCCAAATTTTGATTCGGAACGAAATGAATCGCACATGTCTAGTTAGCAGTGTGGCTATACATATTGGGGTATGTTCATTAGAACTGAGGGAGCTCCTTGGATGAGCAGCAAAACGTCTTCAACATTACAGAACATGTCCAGTTGATTGTGACTGCGCTAAGTCATCCAGACTACAAGAGATACAGTGCATGGCGGGCATGTGGATGGGAACTACGTATAACACTGCTGTATCACCCTGCACCATGATGACCCACCCTATAGGAATATAAGGGGGTGGAACTAAGGGGTGGAACTTACCCAATGGCCAAAGACAGGCTGACATCTTTGGAAGATTGCTGCTTGAGGAATTCAGTACATCTCTCTAATACAGGCATATTTCTCCATGTTTTTCTCTTTTCCAAGTACAGAAGTAAACCTGTTGATCTGCCACAAATCCAGTGAGCTCCTAACTTCCTATAGTGCCTCTGTTGTACTAAAAATCTAAGCAAGTTGTCAGCCCTACTAGAATACAGAACCCCCCTCCCCATCTCTATAACCTTAGGGGAGAGGGGTGTTCTGTAGTCCAATAAGGGGGAACTTAGGCATGCCTGACAACACTACTTGGGATTTCAGTGCAGTGCTGTCAGAATTTTAAAAGAGACAAAACCTGGTAAATAATTTGCATGTACTGAATATGTTTTTGCCCAGACATAGGCTGTAGGTATAGGGTGAAAGGGCTAAGGAGGAAACCAGGACAAGCATGACAAATACAAACAAAAAACTGTTTCGGGATGGAGATATTTAGAGCAGAAGGAAACTTAGGAAATGCCTAGTGACAATTAATAACTGGGAAAGCAAATATTTTAACAAGAAGAGTCACTATGACAGCAAAGTGGAGACGAACAAGGGTGAAACTTATATATATATATATACACAGTATATACAGTATATATGTGTAATTATATATTAATGAATACAGGAGTTGCTTTTATATTTGCCTGCAGTTCTGCTTTAATATTCGGGTTTCTACTTAAAATGCATTTTTTTGCACTGAAGCACATTTTTTTTTTGTTTTAAATGGGCAAAGTTCGGACAGGCTTTTTAGGTATAAAGAGGACAAAGGGTACAATGGATGATGAGAATTACAATCCCAAAACCTTTTTTACAACAAATTTGAAGTTGGGAAGGGTAAAACTCCTGTCATTTTTTTTTTGTCATCAGTGTCCCATTGGGGAGATTTCCTTTTACATCCTGTCCTGTCGGCACAGCAGGAAGTGAAAGAATATCTCCCCAAAAGGAACAGGAAGATTTCCCCCCCCCCCCTATTTCTATTGGATTTGCCATCAGTTTTAGACCTGGTGATATGGTCACCAGAACCAACATAAAGACTGGTGTCCCCTAGTGGGGACACCAACAGTGATAAGAACCTGACAGTGGGTCTAAACCCCCCAATTTAAGCTGTTTTTTAAGTCTATCCAGACTTTAAAAAATGTTGGCTTTTGATAGACTTTAAAGTGAACTTTACCTTCAAAGGTGACTTCAAGCATTGCGGAATCACCAAAACCTGACAGTTGAGCTGTGCAAATATCAGCCATAGCTTTTGTGGTCAGTCTCTGGCCCTCCTTCTCCCTCCCCATGGGCTTTCCTATTGGCCAACAAGTGCAGCACGTGACTTCACCGGGCAATAGGAAAAGTTTGAGGAGTGGGAGACATTCCATGGCATCAACCACAGAATGTGCGGTTTTAACTTCGTTAAAAGAAAGCTCGGGATTATAAAGAAAATGAGGGACTTTGAAGATATTTGGAAACTGGGTCCATCACGGAAGCCTAAGGTGAGCTTGCAGTTTCACATTAAACAATAATAAAAGGCAAGGGGGTAATGTAATGGTAAGGTGTGAAGAGAAGCAGCTTAATTAGGTCAAGTCTTGTTTTCAATATCACTTAAAAAAATATGTCATCCGAGTAATTAAAATCCAGAATAAATTACTGCCTGTAGCGTGAAAAATTGTCGAAAAATTTTAATTACAAAAGCTCGGATTACCATAATTTATGTCTCCTAGGCTTACACACTCCCTACCAGGAGACTCAGATTTTGCACTGCTATTTGTTTAAATAATCCAAAAGCACTAAAGTTTGAGAATGTAAAAAAAACCCCCACAGATACAACATAATAGGAATAAGCATAATTTTGGCAAATTTTTGAATTTTTGCCAATTGCATGGGAGTCAATGAAGAAGCTACATTAAGGTGACCTTTATACAGGTGCAATGGGCTGTAAATGGTTCCCGACGGTTGTTTATATGCTTTTTTTTGCTTTTCTTGTGCAGCCGGTGAAAAAAGTAAAACGAACAAAAAAAAAAAAGGCATAGCAACAGTACACAATTAACACCATATTAGGGATAAGCAACATTTTGCCAAATTTTTGCCAAGAGTCTATGGAGAAGCTACATTAAGGTGGCCTTTATACAGGTGCAATAGGCTGTAAATGGGTTTTTTTGCTTTTCTTGTACTGTCGATGAAAAAGTATAACGAAAAAAAAAAGGCACAGCAACAGTTCACAATTTGCAAAGCTGTTAATTTAAGTTTTTTAGAACTTTTTTTTTGTCAAACAATCCACCCAGCAATAAAACCGACACTTCTGCAAAGAACTAAAACCGCCTAGGAAGCATTTACAATATGTTATAAACATTATAATGATTTTCATTGTCAATAGATCTTGCTCAAAATTGTTTAAAAAAATTGAGAATAAAAAGAATACAGCATGCACCCATCAAACACTGCTAATGAGACTATAGAAGGATTGGGGTTTTGCAGGGATATTCTATTTAAAACAGAAGGAATAAATCATTTCTATACCTTGAGTGAATGTCTTGTGTGGAGAGAACGGCAGGTTTCTGTTTACTGAAGAACAACACCAGGTTGTATCAGCTACGGAGAGATTTATCAGTAAAAGGCATAAGATACACATACATAAAAAGGTTACAGTCCTCCACAGATGCCTGTCACTTAACTATTTGCTCTTGTAAAGCCGAGGAAGATCTGAACTGCAAAATCTCTGTGGCAAACCAAGCGGCATAAATAAATACTTCCAGAACCAAGTCAGTTTTTTTTTCAGCTGCCTCTGCAGAGGGCAAGAAAGGACACTGGAGCCTCAGTGACTACACTCATTTCTTCACTGTCTCTATGGAGGGAGCCACAGGCTGCGACTTCAGGCACGGTGGCTAGATGGGACTTGTAGGTAACGCCACAAAGATATGGGTGTCTGTGACCTCTCACGGGGAGTGACAGGCACACGATCAACAGGCATTTTCTGTACACACTGAAAAAAAATTTCAAAGTTCATGCGGCCATCACATCAAGGACTTGTAAGCTGCAATATAATACATTTTTGCCTTTGGGTTTAAATACACATTAGGATGATTGCCGGCCTGCCCCTCACCCCCGCCCTCCCCTT